GTGTGTGTGTGTGTGTGTGTGTGTGTGTGTGTGTGTGTGTGTGTGTGTGTGTGCGCGCGCGCGCGCACACGTATATAATCTTATTTTGCAATGTAGGCTGACAGAATAAGTATTAAGTATTGATGCTGTTTTAAAACAAAAGTGCTCTAACAGTTGTGCTTCAGTTTCAACATTTACTATAAAACAATCACTTCTTATAATCTCTGGTCATCCTGGAAGAAGTTGATGCCTACTGTCAAGTAAACAGATGGTCCAAAGACAATACCAAACCTGGTTACAGTGGAGACTTTGCTAAGCACTTTTTTGGGGGCAAGTGGAAGGTACAGTTAAACCCCCTTACATCATGATAGCAGAACCAAAAGAAGCCATCATCCACTTTTTGCATTAACAGTTTTTTGGGTGAAACAGGATGATAGTTTGGTGCCTTAGTCCACTTATGCACCTAACAAACCGACCAGAATATGCCCAAAAGGGCCTATATGGGTGGTGGCTTCTTATGGCAGAAGTTTAAATTCCCTAAGGGAAATCAGTGCACTACCAAAAGGAACCACTGGCAGCAATGAAAACTATACAACTTTTTCCTTGCTATCTGTTTGGGTAAAAAGTCTGCAGGTTAGGACAGGCCATGCATTCCCACATCACACAAGAATTCTGAGGGGCAATCTTTCAAGTAATTAGAAAAACTGCATTATTATGATGACACCATCAAATATAAGGCAAAGAATAAGTCATGATAACGCTGTTGCTTTATCCAGACCACTTTGTTTAAAGCACTAGGGGCCAGCCTTTATGGCAGGCATGCCACGTGGCTTCCTGAGTGCCAGCCACTCTGATCACTTTCCCTTACCTGATCTGCTTAGCTTTCTGCTTCCCTGACCAAGCTGCTGCTCTGCTTTCTGCTCCCTGTCCTGCCTGCCTCTGTGCTGCCCATCTCCTCCCTAGTCCGTCATGTGCCATCCACAAGGACTGCCTATGCCACTTGTGGCACTTGTGCTGCTGGCTGGCTACCCCTGGTTTAAAAGATAATGCCAACACTGACCTAAGCAAGGCTTTTATGGTAATATCTTTCATTAGACCAACTACATAATTGGATAGACATGTTAGACAAGCTTTCAGGCACCAAATACCCAGACCTGAGGTAGAAAATCTGGGAATTTTATGCCTTGACTGCTTGTGTAACATCTCTCTCAATTACAAAGTAGGTCAAGTAAAAGATGTTATTACCAAACAAACCTTGCTTCTTGCGTATTCACTAGGCTATCATGACTATAACACTCTGAACCCACTACAATACTGTCCCCTTGGCAGGAAAGCAAAGATTTGAATCTTCAGGGAAAGAATGTGCTCAAAGAGAGGGTTGTCTCTTCTTGCTCCAAAATTTGGGGATGTATAAATGTTCCTAAACTGAATATAACTACTGGTACAGTAGATTTACAGTTGCAAGAATGACTTCCAGCACAGTTAAATAAGAGAAGTTATCGACATGCCATTAGAAAACAAACTGGCAAATACAGACACCGTGGGATATGCATCCCTCCCTCCCTCCCCAAGAACAAAAAAGCAAAAGCTTCTAGGTCACATGAAAGATCTTGGAATTGAAGGATGAAATATACTACAGGGAATGGGGGGTGGGAACAGCAGGTGATAGGAAAGTAGATGTGCTGACTTGGCTTCACTAGAAGACTCCCCTATACAAAGGAGAATCCATAGCATAGTAACACTGAGCTGTCAATGGGATGAGTACATGACCTTACAGGCATGTCTAAAGAATGAATTGTTAAATAACTCCATATTGGATAGCCACCTTTTTGGCCACCAGGCAGAGTGAAAGCATCCCTAATTTTCCATTGTGAAGACATTGCAGTCTAAACAGAAGTGTTGCTGCTCTGTTAACCCAACCATGCATAAAGACACAGCTAACCAAACAGCAGTAACAGCACTACACCCCTGCTACACAGCATTCACCTCAAAAAGGCCCAAACTATTACAGTCTAGCCTTTTGTCATTCAAAAAAATGAATACATTCAACTGTCCCAACTCTCCTCAGCTTGTGCTAAGGGCAAGAAGGGAAAACATCTAATGATGTTAAAAAGGAGGAGATAATTCATAACGCTTTTGCTGACTATTTAGCATACACCTAATCAGCATTGTCAGAAGTGATTTCCAAAACATGCAAAGCTCTCAACAAGGACTGCATTCACACTAAGTCTCATATAACTAATTGTTGCTATTGTAGTCTTCAAAACTATGTACTTAGAATTTTTAGGTACAGAATAGTATTTTAGTATGTATCTGTCAGATAACTAGAAACAAATGTTTATTATGAGCTGAAAGACAAAGAAAGATTTATCTACTAATCATACTACACAGAAATGGATTTAATAGTATCAGCCAGAATTTTGTCCTCAGATACATAAAACAGCTTCTTTTTATACTCTAATTAATACTACGACTAATCAATTCTAGTACCTAGGGACTCCAAATACAGACCAAACACCACTCCATGCTCTGTGCAAACATAATGAAAAGAAAAAGCCCAAATCCCATCCCAAGGTGAAAAACAAATGAGAAAACTGGTCATTGTGATGGTAAGTTCAGCCTGCTAACTGTCTAACTATGTATTTATGTATGTACAAATCTCCCGTTTTAAAATAAGAAGTTAAAAACTGGAATGGTTAAAATTTTTCCCTCGGAACAACTTTTTAAATGATGTGAGCTTTATAGGCAAATTTTGCCAGAAATACCTAACTGCACTCTCACTGCAAACAATGGAGATTGCCCAGGTCTGAAGGCAGAATTTGATGCCAATTCTGCTTTGCAAATGTCTTTATGCATCAGGGCACAGTTTGATGCCAAGTGCATTTCTTAAACTTCTCCATACGGTGAATTATGTTTTGAGCCCAGAAACAAATATGTACAGCAGCAACACAATACCCATAATATAGAGAACTTGGGTGCCCTATGAATTAAAAAGAGAAATACACCCAAAAATATATTTAAATATTAAGTGTATTTGATTAAAGTCTCTGGAAACATAACTGTTCTACTGGATTGTAAGAACTCAGTTTGAAAACTGATAAATGCATTACTACTTGGAGAGAAGAAATTCTGCATAGCACCAGAATAAGTTTTGCTATCAACCACCATTTGACAACCACTGCCATAATGCATAGCCTACTGAAAAAAAATAATGTTCAAGACTTATACTATTCTTGCCTGATTGAGAGTCTTTAATAGATGTAGATGACAACACTGGACCATGACTACAATCACAGAAGAGGAAAAAGCAGCACTGAATAACCAACACTTGAAGCTGCTAAAAAAGGTAACCTGAACTCAACTCTTGCCACGCTGTCTTAAAATAAGGCTGTCTTTAACTACCATAGGATCATATTCTCAGTGCAATGCCTGCAGGACAAGCCTACCAAAATCAAGAAAACAGAACAAGTCATTAGGTACTCTGTGCCCATTTGGCACTTTCAAAACTATGTTATGGTGCATGCCCATGCCACATTTACTATGTAATAAATTGACTTTCCAATCTGGAAGTGGAGCAGGCACATGATGCATAGCCCTACTAGGCTATAAATCACTAGCATTCAGAGTAAAGTTACTCATTGAAAACATGGTATGAGTCAGCTCCCTTTTTGTTATCCTGGGGTAGCCCACTGGTTCCCAGCTACTTGGCTGCCAGGCAATACAACAGGGCCTATTTTGGGCAGCCAGCTTGAGGGACTGGGTTGTGTGCCTGCTTCTTACCACAAAGTAAGTTTTCTATGGAACAAAATCTGGAGTGAATTACTCCATAGCATTCATGTTGCGTATCCACACCATCAATAATAATACATGACCCTCGACACCTCAGATACAGCCCGTTCAATGGGTCTTCATAACCAAAGGCAGCAGAGTTGTGTGAATGCTGAACACAGAATGTGGCTCAGTAGCACAGACCCCAACGTGATAAAAAGGAAATATTTCTCACCTTGCTCCAGCAATAAGTTCTTTCTGTCCTGGGTCAAATGTTAACTGCGAAAAGTCCACAGCGTTCTCAGCTCTAAACACACATAACCAGGGGGCAATTTCTAAAGAATGGAAAAAAATACACTTGTTACTGAAGATGTCATAACTACAGTGTATCAGGTAAATATTACATTTCAGGAGTACTGTGGGGGTGTAGAGGCTCCCAAGGTGATCCCTACAAGGAACCAGTTGAGATTTTCACCACTATGTCAAATAAGCTACTCTACAGACCTATAAAACACAGAGGGCAGTCACCCTATAAACAGCTGAACGAGATATCCATATTTAGCTCTGATTTACAAACCAGATGTGATTTTCGTTCTTAAGCTCTGAACAACGTAGACAAAAATACAGTATGAGCAAGATTCGTAGAGGATAAGCAAATGTAAACAAAATCATTTCCTTTACAAGTAAACCAGAAATAGCTGGTGATTGACCGCCCCACTATGAATCCTGGCTGAGCAGAGCACAATAAGTAAAACTGGCAATATTTGACTCATTACTATATCCACAAGTTTTTGTCACAAATTTCTCAAGAGTCAATGAGCAGGCTAAAGTACAAAAGCTGAAGATTAAATGGCAAATTCCAGCTTTTTCAGAATCAGCAGCACACCCTTCACATACACAGGTTGGTCCTATGTCCTAATCTTTTATGTTAAGTATTAAGTTAAATACACAGAAGTAAGCACACCTAACCAACAAATGAAATAGAAGTGCTTGATGGGCTGACACAAGTCAGCTATTTGGTTGTACATATGACCATGCCTGTCTGGCTCTATGCACGCAGAGATGAGCTGAATACATGACATGAGTATTTGCTTACACATTAGGCATCCCAGCTATTTATGCATACCTAAGTGGTGTAAGGCTTATCTATAGCTTTTCAGAGAATAGCAACAATGCAAAAATCTGATTCTGTGGGATTTTCCTTCAATTCAGAGAACAAAGAAGCATTTATTTAAAAATATTTTGCCTCTAACCACTAAGCTGTACTAACTGAATCTGTGTTTCTGTGGTAATCAAATCGACAGCGTCAGTGTGGTATCTACAGCTATAATGATGACGTATACACAGAAGTAGTACTGCCCAACCTCAAAGAAAAATTTCCTAAGTGTCAGTAGAATTAGTAGCATCCCCCATAGCAGTGGTTCTTAACCATTTTCGATTCCAGGCACCCTCCCATAACACTTGTGAATTGAGCAGCACCATTTCAAAAGCTGACTTATTTATTACAGTGCTCACCTCTTTGCAGAGGAGCTCTGCAGGGGGAGTGGGGGAGCCTCCAGGCAGGAAAGACAAAACCTGGGTTTATATCCTCATACCTGTTTATCTCCTCAACCTTCAGGCACCCTTCAAAGGATCTGGCAGCACCCTAGGGTGGTGTGGCACCTGAGTTGAGAACTGCCACCCTGCCATTACAACTGTTCAATATTTTAAGCACCTCCTTTCACTGGCTTATCACTTCGCCAAATTTAAAAAAACTGAACTGACATTGTACAGGCCAGGTGTCTGCTTTAGCCTGATTTTTTTTAAGTTTCAATAAAAATGATCCAGCCATTTCCCAGAGGAAAAAAAATATTCTTTTGACCACATTAAAGAAACTTACTAAATTGCAAATGTCACATTCAGAAAAAAACATCTTGAAGTTTGGCAGATGCATCACTCATCTATCAGGAAAGTATGTTTCAATCTTCCAGTTAAAATCTCTCTATATATCACTGTGCATATACCTGGACAATTACAAGTCAATGAAAAATGTCAGCTTATGAGTACTGAGTATAGTTTGACAGCTAAATTCATCATAATTTCTATCTGCACTGGGCATGCTCTCAGAGAAAGATTTGAGAAGTCTCCAAAAAAAAAAAAAAAAAAAAAAAAAAA